GGAGGTTGAGTATGCGAACGAGTACGTCTTTGTCCAGGGGAGAAAGCAGTGGGGTAAGTAACAGGGCGGCGAAGGTGGAGAGGGCGACCGCGCATGCCCTTTTTCCGGCGGGAAGGAGGACAGAAGAGAGGCCGAGAGAGAGAGTGTGCGCGCACAATGACTTGGGTAGAGCGGTCTGACAGCATGCGAGTGAGAACATCAATCAGCTCATCCTTCTGGCCCGGATCGAGCCTGGGCACCGAGGAGAGAGAGAGAGAGAGGGGGAATCGGAGCAGTCAGAGATGCGAGTCGGGAAGCGCCCGAGGGCGGGGCTGACGCAACACAGGAAGACGCCAGAGAATGGGGCAACAGTACGCACGAGTAAAGCTTGGGCAGGGCATGAGCAGCAGCCTTGCGGACGTGCGGGCTCATGTCGGTGATGCGTTTCTTGACGGCCAACAGGACGATCGGCACGATGACCTCGACCCGGATACTGGACAGAACACGCAGGGCCAGCGCGCGGATGACATGGTTCGAGTCGTCGAGGTCCTACAAGATGGGCGAGCAGGGCGGCGAGGGGCCGGGGTCAGGTGCGCTGGTGCCGGCGCCGCAATAGGGGGCCGCTCTTCGGCGTCTGGGGCGGTGGTCGGAAGGAAGGGCGAGAAGAGGAGTGGATGTGCACCTTCTGGAAGGAGTTCACCGACAGGAGAGCCAGGTCGGGCTCCTGCTCGGCGTATCGGAGGAGGTAGATGTACACCAGCTTGCGGACCTGGAAGTTCTGGGAGATGACATTCTTCACGACATCCGGGAAGAAGACCGCCGCGTCGCGACCGCGGGCCATGAGCTGTGGGCGAAGATATGCCGGTGGAGGTGTTAGAATGGATTGGGGGCCAGACGCCCGATGGTCTGGATGGTCTCGGCGGCGAAGGCCGGGCTTGGGCGCGAATGTAGGTCTGAGCGTGGTTCCGGGGAGAAAGCGTGGGTGGTTAGGATGATCATCGCGGTGGCGGAAGGGGATGAGGAGAGAGAAGAGAGAGAAGAGGGAGGAGGGAGAAGAGGGAGAAGAGGGAGAAGAGGGAGAAGAGAGAGAGAGCAGAAGAGGAGAGAGGGGAATGGAAAAGGGCGGACAGATCCCCGGCCCCATCCATCCCTTCTCGTCTCGAAGCCGATGTGCATGTATGTATGTATGTGTGAGGCAGAGGGGGGGGGGTCCCCCTGTCCAAGAGTGCACGCACCTGCAGCTCATGCAAGACGATGTTGATGGTGCGCGAGCTGGTCACCGAGGCCAGCACCTCCAGGCGCAAGCGACGGATGAAGAGCGGCTCGTCATGGCGAACAAAGAATCGCCGGATGTGCGGCTCGAAGGGCTCTGGCCGGATGGCCGCCAGGGATTTGATCGTCTGCAGGATGCTGAAAAGGGTCTCCCGCGGGCCGGACAGCAGGCGGGTCAGGGCACGCGCCGCACGGCCAACCTCATTCTCCGGCGCCACATGGTGGTACAGGGAAGCCACCGATTGGATGACCTGGAGGGCAGAGGATCGCAAGCAAATGCACAGCCGCCGGAGGGAGGAGAAGGGGGAGGGGGGGCGGTCAGGGCCCGGGTCGGCGGTGAAGTGAGCAAGTGCAGCATGGTGGCGATTGCCACGGGCGTACGGCGGCGTTGCGGCTGTTCAACAGCGGGGTGAGGCTGTCGAGCAGGAGCCGCAGATCCGGGTCGACGATGGCCGCGACGGTGCCGGCCGCGCCAGCCGGCATGGCAAAGGCATCGTCATCGCTGGACGAGGCATCATCATCCTGGCTGTCGTCGCTATCGTTGGCCGTGGCCGCGCGCTTGGGCTTCGCCAGGGGAGTCTTGGCCATCTCCGGCATGTGCGGCTTCGGGAAGTACACACGCGAGTAGCGCATCAGCAGGTCAATGATGTACACCTGGCCCCACTCATCGACGTCGATGAGCGTCAGGCAGAGCCGGCGGAAATGGGGATGCAGCAGGTCCAGGCGCTCGGGGCAGATGCGCAAGAAGGCTGCAATGACGGAGCTCTACCAGCGGCCGGGAGAGGACAGAGGTGGCGGGAGGGGGGG